TGAAAACCACAAGAATTCTTTTTTTTCCATTCACTTGTTTCAGCTGTTTTCTTTATTCCAAGTACAAGTCACTGCTGGAGAGGACCCAGTCAAAGCCAAGCAGAAAACCATGACCTTCGACATTTCAGAAAAATGAGAAAAAGTGGCCAAAATGTACATAAACATTAGACAAGAAATAGCAGCAAATGACCCACTAAGTGCAGAATTCTGACCTATCAGGCCCTTAAAGCTGATCTGTTCCATAAATCATGCATCTTCTCTGGACCTGGCAGCCCCATCTTTGAAGCAGGGATTTCAGTCTTTCTAAAGTCAGAACAATTCTTGAAAGAATAATCATGGACAGAAAGGTGCAGCCAGGATCCTCCAGCATAGTCCAACAAAAGACTGTGCCTGGGAACAACAGCGGCTTTCTGGCCCTACTAGTTTTCCTTTCCCAGTAGAAACAAAAGCATCAACTGGAAATCAGAATTCCTCAGCCAGAGGAGGCTAGCAATCAAGCATTCCTATCTATGGAATTCTCCAAGGAGAACAAATAAATTGTGGCCACTGCCTCCCAGAGACACCCGCCCCCAAGCAAGGGAAGGTGAAAAAGACAGGCCAGCAGGAGTCTCCCCAAGCAGGTGTCTTTCTTTCTGACAGTTTGTTTACTTATATGCACATATATGAATCCACAATGCTGTCTTGCCTGCCTGCCTTATTTGGCGTCAAAGCATATATTTTAGGTATAATTCTATACCCTTTTTTTTTTCTCACAGAACTTTAATGATAAGATGTAGCCACAGTGATGTGCATAAAATCACACTATTCCTTTCAACATCCTTGCATTTTCTGTCATGTGACCATACCACACTAAGTTTTTCCCCTCCACTATTAATGGTCATGTTGGTGGTTTCTGGCCTCATTTATACCCATTTATCACGTGTTTGCATTATCTAGGGCCATACCACTTCCTGGTTATTTGCACTTGATGTATTCAACCTTGAACCCATCGGACCTCTGATTCTACACATACATTTTTAACTCAAAAATACATATAATTGCCAATTTATAGGATCTACAAGAAACTGAAAAGCATGTTAAGCCACACCAAAATGAGACAATGGCCAAATCCTGCAAAGAATCCTTAGGATAAATGACTTGGTTTCCTTCAACTCAAACTACAACAGGAACAAATTTTGCAAATATACTGGTAAGGGGCTTGTATCCAGCAATTATATAGAATTCTTACAGCTCAACAATAAAATGACAAATCCAACTTAAAACTGGACAAAGGATCTGAATAGACACTTCTCCAAAGAAGTATACAACTGGCCAACAGGCACATGGAGGGATGCTTAGTATCACTCTAGTTATTAGGGAAATGCAAATCAAAACCACAGAGGTACCACTTCACACTACCTAGAATGTCTATTATCCAAGACTGTTGGGAAGAATGTGGAGAAGCAAACCGTCCATCCTGGTGGGAATGTAAAATGCTACAGACAGGTGGACAGTCTGACCCAGCTCCTCAGATGGTTAAACCAAACAAACATATACCCAGTGATTCCACTCTTAGCTCTGTTGACCAGGAGAAATGAAAAACCGCCCACACACCAAACTGCATGTGAAATGTCACAGCAGCATTATTCTTAGCAAAAAGATGGCAACAATCCAAATGTCCATCCACCCTTGAAGGCACAAACCAACCACGAAATAGTCACATGGTGGAATATTATTTGGTCACAAAAAGGAACCTCAAGAACATGACATTAGTGAAAAAAAAGCCAAACACAAAGGTCACAGCTTGCATGATTTCATTTATATAAAATATTCACAGTAGACAAATGCATAGAGGGGGCTGGAGTGGGGCCTGAGGGGTGACCGCTAAAGAGTCCAGAGCTTCTTTTTGGGGTAACAGAAACATTCTAAAATTGATGTCTGCACAATTCTGTGAATACACTAAAAAATTTATAAGAAATTAAACTAAAAATAGTCTCTTTGTCTTTTAAATCATTTAGGTCTCTTTCAAACAACTTGACTATGTAAAATTAGATGCTGACTTTTAAAAGTACATTATAAAATAAAATCATAAGACAATCATGGAAACTGGAGTAGATACTTGATACTAGTAAGGAATTATTTGTTTTTCATGGGCATGGTAACAAAAATAAGTTGTGTTTTTAACAAGGAGTTCCTGTATTTTAGAGATACACATTAAAATATGTATAGATACAAGGATATACTGTCTGAGATTTGCTTGCAAAATAACCTTGGAAGAGGGAAAACAGGCATGGATATAGGTGAAATTATCATGAGCTGTCAAATCTCTGTGATGGTTCACTATACTACTTTTTCCACTTTCATGATATTTGAAATCATCTATTTATAAAAGGGGCGAGGGTCTCACTGAGACTCTGTCTTTATATAAAATATAAAAAGGGCGGGGGATATGGCTCAGTGTTAAGCGCCCTAGAGTTCAATCCCCTGTACAAAAAAAGGGGGTGGGATAAAAGAAAGAGAGGGAATATTTCCCTACCTACCACATTACCACATTATTTTATTGCGTGCCAATTATCAATCCCACAAGTGAGGAAACTCATTTTAAAATGCATTCTCAAGAAACAATTAAAAATACCCTTGGATTTCCCCCTTCACCCTCCACAACCACTTTTTCTGCCTCAATTGCAAACTTTCCAAAAGAAGGCTTTCATCCTTAATGCTTGTGTCCATTTGTTTGATCTCTATGTGTTGGTCTCCTTTTATAATTTGCCTTTAGACCTAATGATTTTTTCATTAAATTTAAAAATAGAAGTTTTAAATGAGTTTTGATGCTAAGCTAAGTGGCTCCTTGAAAGAGAAAATGATCAATTTCCTTTGGCTTCTCAATTTCATTTCTTCCTCTGGTAAAGATAAAAGAGAGAACGGTCCAGAACTTTTGAGTTTATGGCAAAGACTCCTTGGTAATATAAAAAGGAAAAGATTATCCAGGTGAAGTAGCGCACATCTGTAGTCCCAGCCACTAGGGAGGTTGAGGCACAAGGATCCCAAGAACAAGGTCAGCCTGAGGAACTTTGTGAGACCCTGTCTTAAAATAAAAACAGTTGGGGATGTAACTCAGTGGGTTCAATTCCAAGTATCACAAAGAAAAGGAAAATGTTGGGGCTGAGGGTGTAGCTCAGTGGTAGAGCTCATGTTTAGCATGCATGAGGCCACAAAGATTTTGAAAGATTGCACAGTCCTAGCCCACGTTCCAAGAAACAGCCTTGCCCCCACTACACCCAACACGGAGTCTTTACAGAAGTGACAGCTCTAACTTCCTGACAATGAACCATGTGAGAAGCACAATCAGTTTACCTGACCAATGTTATTTAGTTGTCACAGCAAGCCTAGGAGTCAGGTGCTACTATGTATCCTCATTTAGCAGGGACTTTCAGAATGGTCAAGTAACTTAGCCTAAATCACAGAGCTTTAAGTAGCTAAGTTAATCCCAAATGTCTGGCTCCAGAACCTGTACTTATACCCAGCAACATCAGCTCAAAGTGAAAGCGAGCTCATGACATCTTTGCAGTGCCATCACTAATATCCGAGGATCAGAATATTCATTAGATCCAATCATTTGCTTTGGCAACAGAAGGTGAACTATCTCCCAGACACCCCTGTCACCAAGCCATTCATTAGGACCATCAATTTCATAAATCTTGCTCTTGAGCAGCAAACACAAAAGGCATGTAATTTATCTTGAAGATCCACAGAGATAAAAGTTTTTAACATGAAAAGCAACTTATCACCTTTGCCTTGCCCCCCTACCCCCACCCCCAACACCTCCAGAAATGCCTGGATGGAAGGAGAGGGCCAAGGGCCCTGGATGTGGGGATTGTTGAGAAATAACTGAACAGTGAGAGAAAAACAGACACTATGAGGGTAGGCGGGTCCTCTGAAGTGAATCCAGATCCCAGAGTGGCTGGAAAAACAGTCAGGGGCCAGCTGAGAGGCTTCCCTGAGTCACTCCCATCTCCACACACAACACCCAAGAATGACTTAGCACCAAAACACCAATAGGATTCTTTAGAGGGAGGACAGGAGGGTGAACAGAGTCAGAGTCAAGGCACTAAACTTCAGAAACAGGACCAGCAGCTTACACCCACCTCCCTCTAACTTCCAGCCTCCCCACCAAACCCACCCCCTCTCTGGTGGCGCTGGGAGGGGCTAGAGCAAAGCAACAGTCGCCAGATGGGCTCAGCATTGGGCAAGAAGGGAAGGGCTGCAGGACAGGACAAGAGAGACCTCAAACGATGAGCTGAGAGAAGAAATGGAAGGGGCTGGAGTAGGGAAGAATAACCCCAACGTAAAAAGCTAGGACCGGGAGGGAAGCTGAGTCGGGTAAGTAGGAACAACTGGTAGCTAGAAGAGCACTGGGGGACAGGGGTGGAGGGAATAAGAGCGAAGCGAGAGACAAAGGGGCGGAGAGCTGAGAGACCCCTGCGGACCAGGAGCTGCCGGTCTGGGTTTGCTGACAGCGGGTCCCGGGGTCAGCAACCAAGGATGCCCGGAGGCGCTTTCTGCAGGTGGGGAACCGGGTGGCAGGGGACCAGGGGACCAGGGGCCTGGGCGGGGGATGACAGGGCAGCGGCGCCGGTAGCTGGAGCCGGGACTCCGGCGGGTCAATGAGGGAGGAGAAACTGCCCACCCAAAGGCTCCCAACTGGGGATCTGCTAACGGGGCGCGGGGCTGGGGCACTGGGAGGGTCTGGGGGCAGGCATCGAGGAGCTGGTCCTGCCCGGGGACAGGAGTCAGGGACGAGGAGTGCCTGGCCTCGGGCGATCGGAGACCTGCCGGGGGCCAGGGGCCGGGACCCCGGCGGACCGGTGGCGGGATCGGGAGCCAGAGAGATGGGGAGGTGGGCCGGGGTCTGCGGGCGATCGGGGCGAAAGGGGCGCGAGGACTCGGGGCCGGAGTGTGCAGCTGCAGCGGCGGGAGCCGGGGCGGCAGGGGCGGGTGACAGCGGCGGGGCCGCCACTCACCGCTCATGGTGCCGCTCCTCTGGCGGGTGCCTGCGCCGCGCCGCCGCCGCCGCGTCTGCCGCCGCCGCGCTCCACAAGGGCCGAGAGACAGCGCGCGCGCCCCGCCCGCCGCCCCGCCCCGGAAGTAGAGCTCGTCGCCGCCCAGGCCCCGCCCCCGTCCCGGAAGGTAAACACGGGCGTCCGCTGCAGCGCGAGGGCTGAGGAGGGTGGCGGCGGCCGCCGGTGAGCGGAGGTCCGGTGAGGGTGCGTTTTTCCGCCTGCTGCGCCTCACACCTCGGTGCTGGCGCCAGAGAGCAAGGCCATGAGTAAGGAGAAAACAGGGATCCTGACAGGGGTGACAATCGAGGGAAACAGAGCCGTGGACTAAACGTGGGCACGGGCAGAGGGCAATCCCGGAGGGCCTCTCTGAGGAGGCGACTTCGGGGCCCGTACTTGCGCGGTGAGAGGGAGCCGCACCGGAGGGTGAGCGAGGGGAGAGCGGGGACCCCGAGGACGCGGGAGCTCCTGCCCCGCAGGGCGGTTGGCGCTTTCCTGCCCACCTCCAGGCGGGCGAGGGAATGGAGGTCCTCGTAAGTAACCCAGCGGAGTGACACAGTCTGAACTGGTGGCAAGGCCTCACTTTTCCTGGAAGAAGAACTCACTGTAATGGGGCAGGGGAGAAAAGGCTGGTTAGGGGGCTGCTGCTTTGTCCTGGCGAGAGGTAACAATGCCTGGGACTAGGTGGTGGCTGTGGAGCAGGAGAAGGTGGATGGGTCCAGTGTAAAGCCAAATGCTGCACCTGCCCAGCAATCAGGCGGCACCGTCATTGCCCCATTTTATGGGTGGGGAAGGGATATCCAGAGAGGTCGAAGAAGTAGCCAGGTTGTTTTGTTCACATCCAGAAAAAAAAAAAATATATCTTTTACATCACAACCCAGTACACACATAAGAACATTTGAGATGCTTAACAATTCTGTAGATAATGTATTATCTTCTGATTTTTTTTCTTTTTTTAATGCTGACAGAGACTTACTCCATTTATCCACTATAAGTCTTGATCTATAATTGAAAACACTGACTTGACGACCAAGCCCCCACTAAGAAATGGAGCCAGAATTCCAGCCCCTTTCTCTATGGCCCCAGAGCCCCCAAGGTCTTCTGCTGCTTTGCCTCTACATATATATTTACACACACACCAGGAATTTACCTCTAAGGAAACAACTCGGCAAAGGCCCAGAACTCTTTGAAGAAGGATGCTCTGCAGCATTGTTTCTAATAGAAAAAAGGTGGTGATAAGAAAAAAAGATTTGAGACTGGGGCTGTGGCTCAGTGGTAGAGCACTTGCCTGGCATACCTAAGACCCTGGGTTCAATCCCCAACACTGCCAAAAAAGAAAAAAAAAAAAAAAAAACAATTCTGAAATATTCTAAGTTACAAAGGGTGGAGAATGGAAGTGAGGAGAGTTGGTGGGGGAGTTCCCCTGCTTTGTGTCATCCTGCCCCTCTTTCATATCTGTAGCCAATGGAGGGTCAGCATAAATAATTATATCTACCTCCACAACGTTTTCCATTAATAAATATTTTAGGTGTTTTTTTTTTTTTAGATCCAGCAGACATTTTTCCAACTTCTACTTATCCTCACTGCTGGTAGCCGAGGGAACTTGTCCCAGGACCAGTCAGTCCTTCCTTTCTAGCTAGCATCTGTGATGCCTCAATAAACCCTTTGTTTCAGAGATTTCTCAGTGCCCATTTTGATTTAGTAGTTGGAAAGTTCCAAAGCCCAAATGCAGAATAAGCAAATCATGGCCCAGCACACAGGAATCTTATGCAGATTCCTAACTAGAAATAATAGATTTTTAAAGACTAGAAATGTAACTCTGGCCACCTCTTCGCAGGTCACCCTTTGACTTCCCCTCCCTTTCCCCAACACTCTAAATTCTAAGGAGAAGATGAACCTAAATGATGAAGGTATTAACAGCTAAAGCATCTTTCTTTAGACTAACAGAACTAAGAACATCTTGTGACCTTCAGATAACATCAGAATGTGTAATTTCTTATTTTTTAATTCTGTGCATCAGCTTACAAAAAGCATGTAAAGTTACAGGAACTAATCTCTGGAGATCAAGGTTGCTTGCTGTATTGGGGCAGGGAAGACATGCCTCAAATGACCAAGACCCCACCCAGCACATAGGCTTCCTAACCATTACCGCCTGCACCTCCTTTCCTTCCATATTAAAGTCCTTCTGTTACCCAACCCTGGTCTTGTACTGCTTGGGTGGACTACTGAATTTCTACCCCATCTTTGAGGACAATATGCCTGAAGACCGAGTCCCTCTTCATGGGCTGGTTGCATCTAAGATGACTGCCAGAGTGACCACTAAACAATCTCTAACTTCATTATAATAAAAAACGTGAACATTCCTCCTGCTCATTTATTTTGTATCTATAACCTGATCCCAAGAGTTGGGAAGTTGATTTGCAATTTTATCTCCCACTTCTATTCTTGGCCTAGAATAAAAGTCTCCCTCACCACTCCATGTTCAGTAATGTTGGTTCCACAGTTCTGAGGGGAAAAATGACCCAGCCACTGGAGTCAAAAATTGGCACTTTTGGGGCTGGAGTTGTGGCCTAGTGGTAGAGCACTTGCCTGGCATGTGGGAGGCCCGGGTTCGATTCTCAGCACCGCATGTAAATAAATAAAAGATCAATTTACAAATAAAAATATATTTTACAAAACTGGCACTTTTATGTACCTGAGTTCCCTAAGACAGACTTTTGATGGGGGCAGATAGCCACCCCCCCCCATCTTGCTTTCAGGTAGTGAGCAGACCAGCTTGGGTCCAGTAACATAAATGTGGGGAGATGCCAGTGATAATACATTAAGTGGAAAAAAAGCCCAAGCAAAATAGTCTAGAAAGCCATGGTTACAGTCATGTCAAAATATACCTACATGTAGGGACTGTGAGAGAATGTAGAAATGGGAATCCTTGTGTTTGTTTGATGAAGTTATTTCTCCCATCTTTAAAGTTATACCTTATAGCTGTTAATTTGTTATTCCTGCTGGAGAGTTCACATGTCTGAGACCTGGAGAGCTTGGCCTCGCGGCCTGCCTCCACAGCTCCTGGAAGGCAGCACGCTCCTGCTTTGGACAGGTGTCAAGAGGATGCTGTCTCGCATCTTCTCTAGCTCCCTGTGCCTTTCCCCTGGGGCACTAGGGCAAGGTAATTTATTAAAGTCCTCATTTATGTATGGTATAATATGAAATATGTCTGTCCCCTGTTCCTGTCACAGAGCCCCTAAAACCTTGGAAATTTCCTTAGTAGTAAAAATGTCTTTTATTACTCATGACAAGCCCCTTTTGATCACACCTGAGTATACTTTAATGTGGTAATAGAGTAGGATCCCTTGACAGCCTAAGGGTAGGGTAGCTGGTCACCAGAAACACCAGGTAATCAGAGGGTTCCAACATTCAGCCTTACCTCCCAACCTCTGGGAAGGGGCAGGGAGGATCTGCAGATTAAGCTCTATAAAACTATAATAGATTCAAGCTGTTTCCAGGCCGCACATCCCAAGAAAGCACCTTGCCCCTTTGTCTGACTCTTCATCTGTATTTTTTATAATAAACTAATAAATGAAAATAAAGTGTTTCCCTGTGTTCTGTGAGCCATCCTAGCAAATTATGAACATAAAGAGGAGGGTTGTGAAAACTCCAAATTATCATCAGTAAATCAGAAAAACAGTCTGAAACTTGATTGGCATGAAGTGGGGAGCATTCTTGTGGGACTAAACTCTTAGCCTATGGGATCTGACATTATCTCCAGGTAGAGTTAGGGTCAGTGTCAGGATTAGGTTGATTTATAAGACTAGTTGGGGGCTGGGGATGTGGCTCAAGCGGCAGCAAGCTCGCCTGGCATGCGCGGGGCGCTGGGTTCAGTCCTCAGCACCACATAAAAATAAAATAAAGGTGCTGTGTCCACCGAAAACTGAAAAATAAATATTTAAAAATTCTCTCTCTCTCTCTCTCTCTCTCTCTCTCTCTCTCTCTCTCAAAAAAAAAAAAAAAAGACTAGTTGGCCCTATAACACCCACCTGGCATTTGCTGGAAGATTGCGTGGTGTGTGGGGACAAAGGCCCACACATCAGGTCCCAGAAGTGCTCTGTGTTGAATGTGAGTAGAGAAGAAAAAGTCTGTCTTCTTTCCCACTGTGCTTTACCTCTTCCACCAGCAGCCTCCCCCATGAGTCTTATTCCTCCTTCTGGGAATCAGCCTGGATGGCAAGAATCAAGAGGTTAAAGGCAACAACTCTTGTGTTTGAGAAATCTAAACTCATGGAGAGCTTGAAGTAGTGAGAAAACCTGTGAAATGCTGGAGCCGACACTCGGAGGCCACATAACAGGAAAGAGTGTTTGCCAGACCTCAAGGGGACTAGATGACCCTGATGTCTGTGACAGTAACTGATACAAGTACTTACAAAGCACACACTTTTACAAACTGTATATATAAATGAACTTTTTTTTTCTAGCACTGGGTAGGGATTGAACCCAGGGCACTTCACCACTGAGCTACATACCTAGCCCTTTTTACTTTTTGAGACAGGATCTCCCTAAGTTTCCAAGAGTGTCCTTGAACTTGTGAACCTCCTGGCCTTGGCTTCCCAAGTACGTACTACTGTTATCCTCATTATACAGGTGGGGAAACTGAGGCTTGGTGTAGTTAAGTGCTTTTCTCCCAATTTTCCAAGGTCTGTGATATCCTAGTAAACAGCCAGGATTCAAAACCACGCAGTCTGGTTCCAGAAGCTAATTCTTTAACCATTATCCTGTATCCTCAACCCTGAAGTCCCTCATGGAAGCAGTGATGGGCCCCAAATGTGCAAAAGTTCCCTCTATTTTCCCCCATATTCCAAATGTGCACAAAAGCCACAGCCTCAAGACCTTCAGGGTCTATGCTGTGGTGCCAGTAGGCATCCTAATAATGACCAAAGCCAGTAGATGACCAAAGGGCATGTCCCATTGTATTGCCTTTCCATAAGACCCAAAGTCCTTTGCACAAACCCCAGGAAGGGAACCCTCCCCCAGGAATGACAAAAATAGTGCAAAGTGATGTAAACTCAAATGCAATCCAATTGTTGAGAAGGGGGAAATATAGATTTTAGGCTGTCGGTTTAAACCCTGGCTCTGTCACCTCTGTAGTTTGAATGTCGTCTCCACAATTCAGATGTTGCCAATATGATAATATGGAAAAATTGGGCCATAAAGCATTGAGTAGGCCATGAAAGTGTCTCCCTCACAAAGGTGATTAAGCCCCCTATGAAAGTTCTCCCACACTGCTGAGCTAGCTTGCCCTTCCACCTTCTGCCATATGGAGACACAGCAAGGAAGCCCTCACCAGCACCTTGACCTTGGACTTGCCAGCCTCCAGAACTGAGGGAACTGCATTCCCTCACTTATTATTCATAAGTTACCCAGTATTGGGCATTCTGTTATAGCAGCACAAGCAGCGACAGCCATTTACTGGCTGTGTTACTTTGCTCCATTTATATCATCATTTGTAAACTGGATGTAATTAGTGATCCATCTGCCATAGTATTTTGTGTACATTAAATGAGTTAGTCTAAATAAATAAATAAATAAATGGGTCGGTCCAGGTAAAGCACTCAGAACAGTCCTGAGCACATCAGCAAGCCTGCTTAAGTGTTGTCTGTGATTATTATGACACGCACCCAGGTGCTCAGGACCATTTATCACAGTTTCCAGCTACACGTATTCCTGTTTGATTATATTAATGCCTAATATCCCCATTAGGCTGGAAGCCCACAAGATCTAGAACTACCTATGTATGCAGGTGCTGAATTAGCCTGGCTGACTGTAGGCTTCTCCTGTTCACAGAAATACCCAGGATAACCTTGCTTTCCTTTAACAATCAAGAAAAATCCAATCTGTCCTGAAATGTGTGTGTGTGTACAGGAGAGAGGTGGTCTAACCATGGAAATGTGAGTCTGAAGCAGATGCTCTTTGAGCTCCAAATTGTTTTAACTTCTGAATTTCCTCCTACTGAGAATAAAGTCAGAGGCCTGTCCCTGGCCCTAAGGGACACCAAGGAAGCTGGGTGTGTGGCATGCTTCTGATTCGCACAGCCTAGCTAAATCTACACACATATATTTCCTGCCTTTTGTCCCCTGCTCCACCTTTCACTCCCCTGAGTCCCTGAAGATGGAAAATTGGGAAAGAAAATCAACAGTTATCTTCCTCAAACCTGGCTTTGAATAAAACGTACTCTACTCGCCAGCCTGTCTCTGGAGTTTGAGTGGAGGGCACACGGGGTAAAGACTCCCCTCCCTGGTTTCAATTCAGTGGGGTCTACAGATTGCAGTACTTTTTTTTCATTGAGTTGAGAATTTAATCATTAAACCAAGAAAGTTTCCACAGTTGAGCTCCCAACGATGAATTAGGGAAATAAATCTAACAGTTTTCAGAACTAGAAGATAAAAAGCAACTGTATCAGCAACTGACAGTCACCCCAAAGAGACCCAAAGCATCATCTTCTGACCAATGATTTTCAGAGTAGCTCTACACCAGTCGAAGGGTTAATTATCTAGTAGAAGTTGACCTTTCTGTCCCTGTGACACCTGAAGCAGCTGGCAGGCTCTTGCAATAGTCGTTAGTTTTGGTGGTGACAAGAATGGTGGCACCCTCCTCCATGGCTGGGAGTGGAAAGACGTGGTCAGAATCGACCTTGGGTTTGCTCTTGACACAGTCTTGGCAGGTACATTCTTCTACCGTGTACCCCAGGCTTCTTGGAAGGATAGTGTCCTCCCTAGTCCTGCTTTTGTCCAGGTCAGCATTAGCCACATCCAGCAGAACCGAGCCTGATCACAAAAAACAGAAACATTAACCCAACCCCCTGGGGTTGTTTTCATGACAGTCCCAGCAGGGCGGGTCAGCAACTAATAGACCACAAGCCACCATACTGGGATCTAAAATATGGTTTGCTCAGGGACAGTGTCATATGTGTTTGCTTGTAACAATCACATTTAAAAATCGAGATTTCACATGTGAATCTGGTCAATTAGACTAAATTTTAGAGAACAAAATGTGGCAACATAGAAACAGCACGGAAACAATGGGCTGGAGTCAAGAGCAGCTGTCACCTTCAGGCCAGCCTTGGGCCCCTTGGGCAAAGCCACCACCTGGCCCAGACCCTGCCTTTGTTACCCACTTGACCTTTGCAGGCATTGAGGTTTTGACCTTATCTTCCCACATGAAAATGACAGAAGTTCCCATATGTTACAGCACACCAAAATCAGTCTCTGATATTTTAGAAAATAGAAGTAAAGAGGCTTAAGCTTTGGTCAGCAGATAATTTTTTTAAAAGAATCTCATAATTATGATCATATGAGAAGTCCTCTTGTGGCCAATCACACCTGTGAATGTAAGTTTTCTATTTCCCAGCATTCTACAATGTAATTTATCTTCTAAATGTCACATTTAGAGACACTTGGAAATAAGGCCAACTCCGGAAGAAAAATACTGCATTCCCTCACTTATATGTGAAATCTAAAGAAGTTGGATACATAGAAGCAGAAAGCAGAATAGTGGGGTACCATAGGCAGGAGCTGTTGGCCAAGAGATCTGATATTGCAGTTATGTAGGATAAATCCATCTGGAGATCTAAAGTGTAGCCTGATGACTAGTTAACCCTACTGTGTAATGCAGATTAGCTAAGAGAAGATTTCAAGGTAACTGAGGAAATGGTCTTATGGATTTGCTTGACTAGTCATTTCACTATATATGTGTACATCCAAACATGTTGTAAACCTTAAATATACACAATTTTTATTTTATGTTAAAAAAAAAACTCATTCTTCACTTCTCCACCAGACCCCAGGAAAAAAGAAAAATCAGTAAATTGCATGAAACCATAATCTACCAATCCTACTCCACTAGAAAGCCAAATGAGATGGTGTTTTACAGATTCTGCATGGAAAATAAATGTGTAAAGAAATAGGGCAGTTGCTGCTATGTGTTTGAGAATCAGAACATGGAGAAAGGTGCTGCAGAAATATTTTTATCTTAAGAGGCCCTTAAGCAGAACATTGCTTCTCTGGGAGTGGTTCTCTACAGCCTAATAAACAATTATTTTTTAAACAATTACTCAAATAATCCAGGAGAAACTGGTTATTCATTTCTAGCATTTTTCAGTAGTAAAGAGTTCACCCAAGCAAATAACACATTTGTATTAAAAACAAGACCATGTATCTTGCCAAGTATGCTTTTCCTGATGGTAGCAGGCCTGGCCAGCAGTTTCTGATAGCAGGACATTTAATCAATGTTCTAACTTTAGTCAAAGATGTTTTCCAAGGAAGCCTGAGGACTTCAATAGAGTGACTAATTAGGGAAGAATTTCGGGGAAGGCAGACACTGTCAGGAGATCCGCAAAGAAGGTGTCAGTGCCCAAATGAAGACAGCTTGAATCTAAAGTTACTGTCTACTAACACACTTGAAATAATTGGAACCGGATGAAATAGTCAATGTTATAAAAGAAAAAGAAATGAAACTTGCAGCAGCCCTTCTTGAAAGCAGACTTCAAAGACTGACCCCAAACCAACCTGTGTTTTTAAATTCATCCTTCAGTGGTTCAGAGCTCATCTTCCTTAGCAAGAACATCAGCATGAAAACTGCCAAAGAAACTGTCAAACTCAGGCCCAAACAGGTCCAGAGAATGGCATTTGTTCCTTTCACTGAATTGGTCATACCTTTATTAAAAGAATGTCAGAGAGAGAATCAGCTGATATCATAATATCACATAAGTATGAATTATTTGTCATTCAATTTCCCCAATTCATCAGCATTGATTTTTTTTTCCTGGGTACTGGGAATTGAACTCAGAGGCACTCGACCACTGAGCCACATCCCCAGCCTTATTTTGTATTTATTTAGGGACAGGGTCTCACTGAGAAGCTTAGCACCTTGCTTTTGCTGAGGCTGGCTTTGAATACGAGATCTTCCTGCCTCAGCCTCCCAAGCCACTGGGATTACAGGCATGTGCCATAGCACCTAGCACCAGCATTGACTTTTAAATTCTAAATACCACTTAATTAAAAGAGTAGATGAAAATCTATGTTGCTGACTGTACTGAATAAAATTGAGTTCAGGTCTGAATAATCACTTTGTCTCCTTTCTCTTTTTGATTCAGAAAAATCTCACCATCTTCCCCATATTGTTTGTTCTCTGAAAAAAATAATCAATATAGAATACTTCAACGCATAGCTGCTGAAGCAGTCTTACTTACTTGTATTACAATAACGCTGACATGGTACAGGAGGGGTGGAACATCGAAGGTGACAAGGTTTGCAAACATGCAGCAAACTGTCAAAATATTCATTTTGGAAGCACTGCTGAGCCATCTGGAACCTGATCTCAGAGAGAAACCAGGGAACGACAAAACGAACAGCATGAAAGGACAAGTGAAATAGACTCAAGAATGTCCCAGCAAATGTAGAGACAGCAGCTAGAATATCAAGGGAAACAAAAACAAAACTCGACATCACTCCATTGGTCCTTCTGGGGGCCGTCAGCACTGTGGCTAAGGATTTGAATACCACCTTTAATTCACATTTCTAAGTTTGAGGCTGGGTGGGGTAAATGGAATGTAAATATCAGGGCAAACAGTATCTGAAACAGAAACTGCTTATTTTTAGAGGAAGTTTCCCTAGCAGGTGACAGTTGCAAGATGTAGTCAAGCCTGGGGCATCAAGCAGAAAGTTCAATAATCATCTCTGCATCATCTATTTATGAGCTGTACTATGGGATAAGCCCCAGGGAGAAACAAGACTAAATAGGTAACAACTTAAAATCTAACAGGGAAGATAGAAATATACTTAGATAACCACAGGTACAGTAATAACTGACAGAATGTGAGAGACGGAAGGACAAGTCAAAGTCAAACACTACCACCAGGTTCTGGATGTATGAACAATAATTGCACAGTGCTGACACAAATAGGGAAAGCAAGAGAGTTGAAGAGAAGGTAGGCTCAGAGTATTTTATTGTTACCATTACAAATAATCCACTAGGTATGTGGCTCACACCCATTAACCCAGCTACTTAGGAGGCTCAGGCTAGAGAATCACAAGTTTGAGGCCAGCCTTGACAACTCAGTGAGACCCTGTCTCAAAAATAAAGAGGGGTAGTACTTAGGGATGTAGCTCAGTGGTAGAGTGTTTACTTAGCATGTACAAGACCCTGGGTTCAATCCGCAGCACTGAAAAAATAAAATAAAAATAATAATCCATGTCCCATTGCTGAAATTTTAGAAAATACAAATAAGCAGATAGAAAAAACCATCCATGGTCCAAGCATCTAAATATTATCTTTGGCATATCCTAGGGTTGCAGACAGGCTGCTAATGTGTTCTATTTGACCAGTCCCTGATAGATATCCTTCTAGAGGCATTCTGCATAAATGGATGTATGGATGGACGGACGGATGGACAGACAGACAGACTTACTCTTTGCATTTTCCTTGAAACAAATTAAATCACTTGAGTTTGCTGAATGAGACACCCATGTAGAGGGGTCTTGTGATCCATCAGAAACACGGGACTCAATTAAAATTTGAGGAAACAAACTCCAAATTCAGTATAGTGATTCTGGGGTGATTGGAGAGAGGAGAATTCAAAAGAGGCTTCATTGTTAAGTATTGATTAAGTTTTATTTATTAAACTGAAGAGTAAATACATTGATATTTGTTTTTCCTCTTTTGATGCAGTTTTGTTATCCTTTACAGGTTTTTATGTTTTAAGAATGGTGCATAATACATGTTAAAATTATGGTAATGAAATAAAATGTGGACATTAAAAGCAACACATTTTTTAATGCAGGATTTGAGCCTAGAAAAAAATTTTGAACTAAGATACTGATCAAAACCCCAAATTCTAATCTCTCTCTGCTTCCTTGATGCCATGTCCTAAGCTGCTTTCCTCTGCCACATTCTTCTGCCATGAAGTTTTGTCTCTGCTCAGGCCCAGAGCAGTAGAATCAGCCATCTATGGAATGAGACCTCTGAAACTGTAAACCCAAAATAATTTTTCCTTCTCTATATTGTTCTTATTGGGTCTTTGATCACAGCGATGAAAAAGTTGACTAAAACACAAATTGGTGCTGAGAAACGGGGGTCATTGCTGTGACTAAGAGGACCATGGGGCTTTTGAGAATTTGTGGAGAAATTTTTGAAAAGTTAGAGATGCAAGTTGGAAAACTTTCTTTTAATTGTAAGCATAGCTTAATGGGTGATTCTGGTGGAAGTTCAAAAGACAGGAATGCAAATAGGACTGTGGACAGTAAAGACTGGGCTCCTGAGGTTTCAGAAGAGAAGGAAGACTCTACTGGAAATTGGACTAGAGGCCATTTGTGTTGGTTCTCACTAAGAAGCTGTCTACATTTTGCCTATGTCCTTAGACTTCCTGTGAGGCTCATTTTAAAGATGTTGGACTAATTAATCTGGTGGAGGAATTTTCAAGGAAGCACAGCCTTTTTAGGGGTGGCATGGGTATGGCTAGCAACTTTTAGCCAAGTTAACTGAGACAATCAGGAACAGAAAGAAAAACAGAGTCAAATAAGTTTTGCCATTTGACCAAAAAAATGCAAGTAAAACTGGGACTAAGGAAGGAGTGGTATTGAAGACACTGTAATCACTAAAGAGAGTTTCCCCAGAAATAATAGGAAAGTTGGCTTGCAGGCAACTCAAGAATTGGTAAGACCACACCCATCTCAGGCTCAAGAATGTAAAAGAAAAAATCCCTTTTGAGAAGGACTATGAGGGCCCCTGGCTTACATAAGGTTGGCTAGGAAATTTCACCCTGCTCAGCCACCCAGATACTCACAGGCTACTGCAACCAGAGTTCCTAGGGGCTTGGCTACTGTTCAAGATGGTGGCATAGACATGGGGCGCTGATTCTTCAGGAATGCAAAATTCTGGAGTTAAGAGTGTTATGGAGGCTTCCACTGAGATTTCAAAGGGGGGCCTGGGAGGCCAGGTAAAGTACAACAGTGTCAGAGTCCCTGCAGACTGCCCCTGAGAGAGCAATACATGAAGAAGTGAGAAGGAAGCCAAAGCTGCAGTGGAGATCCCTGAGACTGAGAGATCCTGTGAAATGTCTGCAGAGGAAAGCTGCAGGAATCGAGCATAAATAATCCAAAAGAGAGAGACCATATGGGCTGCAACCAGCTAGATCATAAGCACAGAGCTACACAAACCCTTGGAGAGACCATCAGGAGGCCATGTGCCCCAAATGCTGGACATGGAGCTACAAGACTTGTTTGCTCAGCTGGTTTTCAGTCTTGCTTTGGTCACATTCCTTCTTTCTATGTCCCAAATTTTCCCTTTTGGAATGGAAATATGCCTATGTCTATTGAGTATATGTAACTTGCTTTTGGTTTTTACAGGGACCCACATTGAGTCTCAGAGGAGACTTTGAACTTGAACTTAACCCTAGAAGTGTTAAGACTATTAACACTAGGGGCTTGGCTACTGTTCAAGATGGTGGCATAATGTAAAATACTTTTAGTCCATTTGGAAATGGACTAAAAGTATTTTACATTATGAAATAGACATGAACTTTTGGGAGCTATGGGCAGAATGTTATGGTTTAGATGGAAGGTGCCCCTCAAAAGCTCATGTGAGAGATTGCAAGAAAGTTTACAGGTGAAATGATATTGTTAAGAGCCTAAACCTAATCAGTATATTAATCCACTTGAATGGATTAACTGGGTGACAGCTGTAGGCAAGTAGGGTGTGGTTGGAGGAGGTGGGTCATATCTTGGGATTTATATTTTGTACTTGTTGAGAAGAGTCTCTCTCCCTCTGGTTTTTTTTTTTTTTTTTTAAGTTGATTTTTTTTGTTTGTTTGTTGTTTTTCACGTGGCCGGAGATTGAAGCCAGTGCCTCATGCATGCTAGGCAAGAGCTCTATCACTGAGCCACAATCCTGGCCCCTCTCCCTCTGCTTTTTAATGGCCATGTTCTGACCTGTTTTACTCCATCATATACTTCCACCATGAGGTTCTCCCTCACCTCAAGCCCTGAGGGATGGAGCCGAATGTGCATGGACTGAGACACCTCTGAAACCATGAGCTCCAAAATAAACTTTTCCTCCTCTAAAATTGTTCTTGTCAGACATTTTTCTTTGTTTTACCAGGGATTGAACCTAGGGTACTTAACCTCTGAGCTACATCCCCTGCCCTTCTTCTTCTTTTTTTTTTTTTTAGACACAGTCTCACTAAGTTTCTTAAAGCCTCAATAAATTGCTGAGGCTGGCTTTGAACTTGCAATCCTCCTGCCTCAGCCTCCCGAGCTGCTGGGATTACAGGCGTGCACCACTGCACCCAGCTTTATCAGGTCTTTTAGTCTCTGGCAGGAGACAGCAAAACTGGGATGGAAAAAGACTTCTTTCCTTTGAAAAATCTTTGGTACTGTTCAAATAATTATTTTTCAGTAATAATAATTATTTTAAAATAAGAGGTTTTTTAAATGGTAGGGGGGCTTAGAGGAGGAAGAAAGCTGGGTGAGAGGCAGGTTTCCCTTGATACACTCCCTCGGCCTTAAGAGCGGCAGATACCTGCAGAAGCCATTCTTAATCACCTGTAGGCAACTTGGAGAAGCCTAGGATGGCTCCATCCTCAAAGAGAGGGTGGCAGGCCCCTCATAGCAAGTCACCCAGCCCAGCCTTCAGGGGGATCCCAGGGACCAGAGCCTTGGGGCCACATCTGGCCTCATCTCTGCTCCCCACAGCATATTGTCTTTCCTGGTGAGTAATTTAAAGTGCAGGCCTCAGAGCAGTTGGTCCAGAGGAAATTTCAAAGTCTGCTGGGGCTCCTCAGGGATGCTCTGCTTACTCCCTTTGGTTTGTGTCCTACAAGGGCTCCTGTGGGAAGCTCCGTCCCCATTGTGGTGATGTGAAGAAGGGGTGGAATGGTGAAGAAGTGGGGCCTGCTGGGAGGTCCTTGAGTCAAGGAGGCCTGGAAGGGATTGGGTAGTTCTGCCTTCAGACCCTGAGCAGATGCCAGCCCTATGCTCTTAGACCTCCGGAACTGTGAGCTACATGGATGTGTTGTCTTTATGAATTATACATCCTTGGGTGTTTTGTTACAGCAATAAACTAGACAAATGCACTCAGGTTTGTTGGTTAGCTCCATCATTGATTCTGTGGGGAAACCCTGCAATCCTTCCAACAAGGAGGCGCACCCCCCAAAAGGAGGAACCCCACCCCTAGAGGAGGCCAAACTGAACCAGGTGGCATGACAACAGTCTCACTTTGCCGTGATGCACAGCAGGACTGGATTCTCCAGAACTGACTGCAGCTCTCCAGAGGTGAAAGGCCTTTGGGCAAGTTTGGATGCATCTACTCAAACCACC